CTGAATACAAACGCTGAATACAAACGCTGAATACAAACGCTGAATACAGATGCTGAATACAGATGCTGGATACGGATGAGTTGTTGATACAGAGGCTTGGTGATACAGAGGATGCTGATACAAGTCACTGATACAAATTGCTGATACAAATTGCTGATATAAATTGCTGATACAAATTGCTGATACAAATCGCTGATACAAATTGCTGATACAAATATTCTTTCCATTTGTGGTCAATTTTTTGTTCAAAGTGGCTTTTCAAATGAAGAAAACCAAAATTACAAATTGCAGGGAATTTCAACAATTTTTTAAATGCAGGTAAATGCAGTTTTATCCCCCCCTCCCCAAAAAACCCAGCGTACAACCTCGTGCAATTCAAAAGCAATTTTTCCTTCTTGGAATCTATACAATGTGTAGATTTTTCTTTGACCATCATGCTTGGAAATGCAGCGACCAACCAAAACTTTCGAAAAAAATGCTACAATCCTTCTTCTGTAGTTTGGAGTAAAATGTGGGGTTTTGAATCTTATTCATTTTTAAGTTTGAAAGAGAGAGCCGCATCTATTTGGTTCACGTTTTCCTTCTAGGTCTTCCTCGTTTCCGAGGAACGGGAGTTTCAACATCATTTTGCCGCTTGGACGGCGTTTCTCGTTTTCCCGGTGAGTCGCCATAGAGCTTGCTACTAGCGGGGGGGGGGGATGCGCCCTGGTTTTTTTCGGATTTTATGACTGAGGATCCGTGTTCCGACTTGGACCCTCTGGTCATTACGGTTGCTGTGGGTTTTTGGGAATTTCCGGCAGCGGGATCCTTGAAACCTCCTTTCGCCTCAAAGGATTTGACTTGCGCCTTTTTGGGGTGCGGTTCAACGCTGCTCGCTGCTGTCGTGGATTTTCGCTTCTTTCTAGTGCTCGCGGGATTTTCTGCTTTCATACCAGGGGTTGGTAGTCGCCTGGTTGGCAGTTTGGTTGTAGTCGAAGCTTTGGTCGAATCCGCGATCGTCGCTGCGGAAGAAGCTACACGCTGACTTGTTCGGAACGATGACGACGATGACGCATCGGTTTCGCTTTTGCTTTCTATTTTGGTGACAGTGTTTTTTGCCGGAACATTTGGGAGAGATGCAGCGATTTTGTTTGTTGTCGATGTTCCCAGTGATGGAGGTTTTGTTGTTTTCCCATAATCTGAAGATCGCTTTTCTTTTTCTTGCTGGTCGGGAATAGCGGAAAGTTTGGTGGTCGACAGCAACGACTCCTGCGGCACTAGGGGTGGCGGAAACCGCGCGGGTGGTGTTGTCCGAGAGACACTTGCACAACTGGTAGAAAACCATCTCGCGTCTGTTGGCACACGCCGATTGGTGCTGGTCTGTATCACACCACCACCCGAGGAGGACGATATCCCGACGTCCTTCATGTCCACAAATGCGTCCCAGCCCTTATAGATGCTGCCATGGTTGTATGTGTCTTCATAGTATATTTCCTCTCCTCGATGAATCTGTCGTTGGATATCAAACATGGCAGTAGTTGTCTTCCATATGCGTTCCTCCAGTTCCGCCGTTGTGAAGACTCGTTTCGATAACTCATATGTTTCGTCTCTGGTCAATTCTTGGTCCTGGTTGAGACGGAGTTTCGGTTGCCAGCTTTCGGATCGCGATTGTTCGTCGCTGGAAGTTGCGTTGTCGTCTTTGCTTGTTTTGTTCCAAGGCTGCTCTTCCTTATCATCGCTGCCGGAGGTGGAAGGTCCTTGCTGCAACCTCTGCGTCTTCTTTCCCTGCTCTTCTTTTTCCCATTTTCGCTTCAAAAAGAAAGAAAGGGAAATTCCAGAAGGCCTTGAAAAATATTTCATCCTTGCTTCCTGTATCCTATTTATGCTAATTCTTAATCCTTATAACCAAACCTATGAGTCCCCATGAAGGCAGTACGAGTATGCCATCTCCAGCCATTGGTGTTTTCGTTGTTTTCCGGTGAAGGACTCATTCTGGTATTCGAACTACGGTAATAGAGTTACTAGGTACAATTCCCGTGCTGGCAAGTTATTGGCATTCCCCGTACAAATACTAATGGAAATTTTTAGCTCATTTTTACAGTTAAAACCAGTTAAAAAAGGCATCCAACGGACAAAAATAGAAATATTTCCATTGTTTAATTTCTTGCTAGTCCCAAAATATTTCTATTAGTGGTCCTTAATACTGGGGATAAGCTCTGATTTTGTATCTGCAGTAGTAAGGATCACTAATAGAAATATCTAGGGACTTCAATGTTTTTTTTGCGGAGGGGGGGGAGATGATGGGAAAAAAAGACGGGAAAATAAAAAAAATTGACACTCAGGAAATTGCCTTTAACTTGCCAGTACTGGAATTGTACTTAGTAGCTCTATACGGTAACCTTTGAGCAGCTCAACATTTCCATGTACTCAGTGCGTGGTACTACGAGTTTCATAACTATTGCACATCGTCTTGCGCAGTGCGCAAGAAGTGCTCTCAAGTAAAGACTTAAAGGTGCACGAGATTACGTGTACTCTTGATATGTTTAAGTGTGTATGAAAATTGAAATTATAAGATTAGAATTATTTGAAGATTACCGAGCGCGTTCACGAGAATTCTGGAGTTCTGATCTGAATCCTATGTAGACCTGGTACTGAATCTACACTAGGATTCTCCGTTCTGGACTCGTGACATCTCTGTTCTTTGTGAGGTATTCTTGTATCTCTTATCTTGGACCTCTTATGATCCTTGGACCTCTTATGATGGATCCTATGATACATATATATAAACAGTACCTTACRATAGGTACGTAGGAATGGTATGTTCTTTCATTCCTTTCTTTGAAGCTTCGTATCGTAAGTATCTGTTGCAAAAGGGTTAAAACAAAGTTAACAACTTTGAATCAAAGTTGTCAACTTGCAGCCCAAGTTGCCAACAATGCTAGGTAGGCCTATGTAGAATTAGTACTAGCCCCGCACCGTGTCACGCCGGCTGGCGAACAGCTGCTCAGCAGTGGGGGAAACAAGAAGCAAGATTAGCTGGTTGTTTGGCCGTCTGTAGTACAAAAGGTGTGTAGAAATCGCTGTAGAATACTGTGAATTAAGGTAAGTTGACTTGAGATTTTGGTCAAAATAAAAGGGTTTTTATCACGCGTTCAAAATCATACTAGTATGTCCTACTGTTGTGGCCTAAGAAAGAACTTCACTCCAGCATGCTGATCCTGTTCTTTTCATTCAATCAAAAATACTTGATTCAAAGCAACCATACAACCAACCATGGGAATCACTACTGCTGCTCTCAGGCCATACCAGAGTAGTAGTTCTGAATGTCCTATTACACTGTTTGCAGTAGTAGTAATAATTTTTCTGCCTGGAGTAAAATTATTTTTTTCCAAGTAGGGTTCAGTAGGTTTTTTACAATTAACACATCTTATTACCAATAAACTGGTATGTACAAGTTACCATACCACATGTGTGTCAAGATTTGAGACTCTATTTAGAAAGGAGACATGAGATGGCAAGAGTTGTTGTACTGGTACGTAACCATTGAGTAGTAGCATAAAAAATTACATGTACCCACACACACTTGGTTACTGCACATTACCAAAAAAAACACCAATAAGCTTGGTGTTGAAGATACTTGCAGTCGTAACCTCACTTTGATCTTCTTAGTAAGCTAAACAAGCTCTTGATCTCAGTGGTGTTACTGGTGTACCATCAATGATGTAGTTACCAGAAAATGTACTCTGTTGAAGTCTGTGTTATTATCATGGGAAAAGTTTTGTACTATGCAGTCTTGAGCTAAAGCTTTCTAATTCAACAGAGTACTGCATTTTCTGGTTACATTTATGGTACACGCTCAGACAGTGCCACACCACAATTTACAATGCGGCCAAATGTACGCACCAGTCATACGTTTTGGGCCAATATTTTTCTGCGTAATGACTACTTTGACTAAAACGTACAAAATGGACTTGCTCAGTACTTGTACTGGTACTAGAATTTTTGAATCCCACCAAAATAGTTTTGCTTGCACATGCAAAATAGTTTTGCTTTCAGGTGCACGCTGTACCCCTAGTACAACTGAAATTTTTAATCCCACGAGTCATTACACGTTAATTAAATGGCCCAAAATCAAAGCACATTACAAAAAACATGTAGAGCATTAAGAGAGGTTCAACTCACTCAAACAGCTATACCTTTTTCCCCAACAGACGCTTAAGTATGATAAGCACATGGTTTAAAGAAAATTTAAAGAGCTTTCTAACGCTGTGGGGTAGAAGGCCGTCTGATGAGTATTGACCGATATTTGTGTATGTATATAAACAATTAAAAATGTACGATTCATTCGGCCAAAATAACTCCACCCACACTATATGATACATACATCAGGATCATACAAGTAAGAAAGGTCTGCACAGTGAAAAGTAACAGCACGGCTCCACAATATCACTAGTACCATTCATAATATGAGTACAAGAAGTTAATAAATCCTTGCATTGTGTGTTGTGGTAGTCTACAAAAAAACGTAGCTCTACGAGTCATAGGGCTATGTTTTTTGTTTTTTTAAAATACTGTGCAGGTATTAATACGAAATGCAACAAAAAATGCAACAGTAGAGAATCATGTACAAGTCTACGTACGTACACTTTGGTAATATCCTACTGACCAGCACAGTATCAAAATCCATCACATGCCATGCGGAAAGCAAAAAATCCGCTAAGCCGGTTGAGCAGAATTACTTCCATCATCAAGCGGAAGGCAATTTCCCTAGTAAACAGACATATGATGAAGGTAATTCTTGACAATAACAGAAACATATAATTATAACACTTTTCTAAGATCTTAGGGGGAGGACAAGTAGTTACTACTAGCAGTTACTATAGCAACTCGTATCAGCGGACACCGTATCAGCAAGCCTCCATATCAGCATCCTCTGTATCAGCGACTCGTCGTATCAGCATCCTCAGTATCACCGGCTTGTATCACTGGCTCGTATCAGCATCCTCCGTGTCAGCGACTCGTATCAGCATCCTCCGTATCAGCATCCTCCGTATCACTGGCTCGTATCCTCACCGGCTCGTATCACCGGCTCGTATCACCGGCTCGTATCAGCGGACACTGTATCAGCGGACACCGTATCAGCGGACAGCGGACACTGTATCAGCGGACACCGTATCAGCGGACACCGTATCAGCGGACA